CTTTCTTGCAAAATATCCTCCCAATGGATCATTTGGTTATATTATCAAAATACTCCCAGTATCCATTGTGATCATAGTAGACCAGTCCTTGCATTTGGTATTGCTGAACAGTATCATAGAGAAGTAGTGCCTTAGTAGTAATGCCACTGGACTAGCCCAGACCACCTCCAGGTTAATGTTCTGGAGACATCAGTTTGAATCCCACAATAGCAGATGATGACATTTTTTTAAATTCCAGACTCTTGAATCAAATTCAAAGAGCTAGCCTAAAACCATTGTCAATTGTTGAAAAAACCCAGATCATTCACGAATTCCTTTTAGGGAAGGAAACCTGCTTCTTTAACCTGGTCTTGCTTATATATGACTCCAGACATCAATGTCGTAGTCTCTTAAATACTGGTTTAGTCAGCGACATTCATAGCCCAAGGTCAAATATATTTTAAAAAACTAACACATTAAGCATTTTCATTGGGTTCAAATTTTATTTCTGCCGACACCTGCACCTTTGCAGCACAGTTCTAAGCCAAAACAGATAGATAAAAACTGAAGAATCCTCTTTGTTGACTGATTTCAAGCTGGAGTGCACTGGATCTCAGTACTGTTGGAAGAAATAGAAAGTGGAGTCTGATTCTCAATTGCTATCCAGTTGCAAAGAACTGTTTGGTTAGACGTGTCTCAATATCAAATTAGGATAGAATTAGTCACTAAGCAAAGATTTATCCTGATACTTTGACCCCAATTCTAAAATGAGGGCTTGTACAGTGCACAATACCAGCGAAATCTTAGGGACTGGAGGCTTAGCTGCTCTTAATGGCCAGATACAATTTACATTAACCTTTTTTGGAAACATATCCGAACATGATTGAATTCACTCCTTAGCTGGCAGGAAGGAGTCAGATTTAATGGCAGAAAGCTTTACTTAGGGACCCAGGTAAGTGGTGAGACAAACAATGGAGGCATGTTGCTCAGGACAAGCTAAAGCCCAGGGCTTCCTCACAAATCCAGAATGTTAGTCCACAGAAAAATGTACATTTTTTAAAATTACTTCATGGCAGGGGGAAAGCTGTCACTGTAATACCCACTTCCCCCTCTGCCAACCCCAAACCCACTCCACAACACATCCTCCGCTGTTCTAAGGACTTCAAACAAAATTGTAGGTTAAGTGTGATGTAATTACGACACAAAGATTCAGCCTTTGGATGCCCCATTCAATGCTGAAAACTGCAGGTTAATATTAGACATGGTGGGAAGATCAAAATTAAGAGGTCACTACTCTAAATTTAACTGACTGTACCTAATTTCTGTCAAGCCAGGTTAGAATTAAAATTGGCTCACCTTATCCAAGTTTAATCTGAAGGATGCTTACTTGACTACTCAATGAAGCACACTCCCTTAAAAAGTGCACATTTCAAGACAGCGGTGGAGAAATTTCAGAATTCACTTCCACAAACATTTCATGTGTATTTTGTATGATTGTATAGTATAACTTTTGTTGCTTTAAGTGTCCTTAAAAGTTATAAATTTTGAGGATACAAGTTAAAAAATTGAAATTTTGTCGAGTGAGAAGTGGCCATTTGCGAGTTCTTAATGTGCATGTTTTCTAAATTGTTAATACTTAAAATGACATAATCTCTTTGCTTTAACAGCAAGACTTCAATATGACTTGCAATTGTTACAGGTCATCACAACTATTGCTGTTGGCAGGTAGTCATTGAGGGTAAAACATGGGTATCATGCCCTGGAACAGAAATAAGGTGTTTATTCATAATTCATTAAAGCTTACCTGAAAACAAACGTTTGTTACAGTACAGTGGATACATAATTCAAGTGGTACCTTATGAGATGGACAGTTATTATTTTTCTACATAAACATTTACCACATGCTACTTTTTCACAAATAGAAATTAGATGCACAGCACCCAAGGTGAGGTAAATGTTGCTTTTGTTAAAATTATCTAACCAAGTTCATTACAATCGTTAAACAGGAAATCCATAGACAGCTAGAAGATAAACGCCTGATTACTGTTTTAGAAGTTTGATCCTTTAAGTGGTTCTCGTAAAAATCTATGCATTATTCAGAGATGAATAGATGATGATGGTATATGGTTCAATTCACTGTTTGTTCACACCACTAAGTATAGAAGTTAGGCATAAGACAAGTTATCCTAGTCAAAATATTTCTTGGTCAATGATTTATTTTTTAAAAGTCTCAGGTATTTTTATGGTTTTGAGTATACAATAAGGCAGTGGATGATTAAGAAAGGCAGCTGTAGAAAATTATCAGGATTCCCTTTTGCACTTTCCAGCTTGCCACAGGGAGAGAGAATTTGGAAAGCTATACAAGTAGCCCTTCCTGCATCATTCATGTATAGTCTCAACAGTAAACTATGAGATGCTTTTATATTGCATACACCTGTGAATTGAGAATTATGATCATCGAGATAGGTTTTACTACAATACAAAAGCAGCTCAAGGCTAGCATTGACAGAAATTTAAAGATCAAGCTCACTCATGTGAAACCAGCAATCTAGATTATTAGGGTAAGTGATTGGAAATAAATGTTCAGATCCACTCCAGAAACTTAACTGCATCAAGGCACTTCGAGCATAATATCAGAATTCAGGAGCAAAATAACACAATATTTGGTAATTTTAGAAATTTGCATGCTATATCATGAGATATTGCACCATATCAAAGTACTTGCATACAGGTACAGCAAGTGTGGTTGTTCGTTTGCTCGCTGAGCTGGTTGTTCCGTGGTGTGCAGACATTTCATTACCATTCTAAACAACATCAGTGTGATCTCTAATCACATTGCTGGTGTTCCGCTCCATTCTGAATTTATATGGTCCTCTGGCGTGGTGGGTCTTGTCGCTTCCAGTTCTGACTGTTAGCAGTGGTCTGTAAACGGGGTTTATTTATGTGTTTGTTGTTGGAGTCCTGTATTGAGGCTTCCAGAAATTCCCTTGCACGTCTGTTGTTTGCTTGTCCCAATATAGTCATTTTGTCGCAGTCGAACTGATGGCCTTCAGTGTCTATGTATATTGAGACGAGTGAATATTGGTCATGTCATTTTACTGCCAAGTTGGTGTTCGTGTATCCTGGTCATCAGTTTCCTCCCCGTTTATCCAATGTAATGTCTATTGCACTCGCTGCATAGGATTCTGTATAAGACATCAGTCCTGTTTACTGTTGGTATGGGGTCTTTAGTCTTCAACACTGGACTCCATCAACAAACAAGTTATTTAAGGCTGATGTAGATAGATTTTTGATCAGCACAGGGGTCAAGACATAGGCAGACAAGTTTAGGCTATGATCAGAAAAGCCATGATTGTTTTAAATGGTGCAACATGTTTAATTGTCAAATGGTTTACCCCTATTCAGATGCCTTATGTTCTTTTCCTTTTATCCACTCTGCACTTCTTCAACAGCTTATGTAATGATACAGCATGATGTTCGCCTACTACTCTTTGTGACAACAATACTAACAAGGACGACTCAATCATTCAGGCCAAGGCTACAATAAAGCTACTAATTTTTGGTGGTTAAAATCTTCATTTTTCTCTCTCTGACTAAATATTTGAACAGATGCAGTGAAGGAAGACTACTTTGAAATTTGTCCTTAATTCACAATTCTGACCAACTTGGAATCAACAACTTAAGAGATTTAAAATTTTTTTAAACATATCTGATCATATGAGATCTGTACTCAAGTTTTTTTTACAGGTACTGATCTAAATGAGTGCGCTGGTGTCAGACAATAAGCTTATCAGCAATAATAAATGAATAAACTAGCTGAAGTTTTGGGTGAAGACTTTTAGTGAGAAGTAATTACCTTTCCATCAGATGCTAAAGCATTCTGATTTCAGTATTTACAGTTATAAAAACAATAAAGAAGTGGCTCCCCAGGCTGATTATTGATGTCATGTAAGAATTACAAATTAATAAAGATTTGAAAATTGCTTTCATAAAATATTTAGCAGTTTTTAAAAATATATTCAGCAATAATGTTAATTTATCATAATTCAGATCCATTGTTCAAGATATGAAAGATAGCAGAATTGCATTGTAAACTCTCAAACAACAGTTTTTATCTTCTGTGTTCTAGCTTGAAGTATTTACTCTTTACTCCAGGGAATTCCTCAGTCATACTTCCAACATTCAACTTAGGAGGAAATCTTCATTCTTCCACCACAAGAGTGGCCTTCTATAACTTTCTTTGATTTCATTCCTCTCCTATCTCCTCCAAGTAGTAAGCTAAGACTGGCAATTCAACACAGAGCTTACCTTGTTGGATAAAACAAGGTGCTCAGACTCACCATGCCATCTAGGGGGCATTTTATTACCAGAGCAGTACAGAACTGAAAAGATCAATCATTTCGAATGAACAAGTGCAATTTTATACAATGCAGTTAGGTATTGTTTCTTATTCTGAAAGATCTTTACAGATACATCGTTATTAAAATTAGAACAAATAGCCATATTATACCACTTGAAATTGAATAAGTAACACACTGAGTGTGAATACAGAAATAATAAAATAATCCAGTCTCCATCCAATCGAATAAATATTTGTACTAGAAAGTTCAAATATTAAGGAACCAAAAATGTGTGAAGCAAAAAATTACATGCTAAGAATGTGTATGTGTTGCAGGGTTGATGCTCCGAATACTGTTACAGGCAGTAAAATGGCAGATATTATTTTTAATTCTGAAAGTACTTTGTACAAATAGTTCCACTACGTGTATTCACAGCACAAGAAACAGTTTGTGTTTTAACTAAGAAAGGCAGTGGAAGGGAGCTAAACTTAGTATGTCCAGAATGAGAAATGCCTTGCTGCAATTCAGTTACATTCTGCAACAAATTCCATTGTAAAGAATAAAGGCAAAAGCAGGCAAATCATGTAGTCCAGTTTATGTGATTTAGATGATGCTAACGTATATAAACTAAAAGGGAAACTGAAAATATTACGACCAAAGAATAGAGATAAGACACACCACTGAAGTGCACATTGTTAGAATACAAAATTAAAAGGGATTTATTTATCTCAGAAATGTAACCTTTACTACAATCCCACTTTGTGGGCACTCACTATGTCCCATGTACTGAAGGTAACAAAGGCAAATTTTGAGATAAAATGCAGGATAATGCACCAGTTATGAGAACTTCTGCTTCAACTTCTTTTGAAAAAACACTGGAAGTAGGGAGATTATTGCCAAGATCATGAGAACAAACACTGAATTCCAGGAAACAGCCTCTCCTGCGGTAGTAAGTTGGTAAAGTGTTGTGCCAGCTTTAATAGCCACAAACGATGGAGGTGCTACACCTGAAGTGAAAGAAAAAGAATCAATTCAGGATTTCTTTAGTACCCTATAGTATCCACGGCACCTAAATTCTGACAACATAATGGTTCAGGTTATTTTGATTAAAATCAATTCAATGCTCCCGTGCCATACAGGATCAAAAGGTCCTAGGGTCCATGCTACACTGGTAAATTTCCTTTATTCATTCACGGGATGAGGGCTTTGCTGACTAGGCCAGCATTTATTGCCCATCCCTAATTGCCCAGAAAGCAGTTCAGAGTCAACCACATTGCTGTGGGTCTGGAGTCACATGTAGGCCAGACCAGGTAAGGATGGCAGTTAAGTGAACCAGATGGGTTTTTCCTGACAATCAGCAATGGATTAATGGTCATCATCATAATTGAATTGAAATTCCACCATCTGTCATAGCAGGATTCGAACACAGATTCCCAGAACATTAGTCGAGTCTCTGGATTAACAGTCCAGCCATAATACCACTAGGCCATTGCCTCTCCACTGCACAGGTAGGACACATGAGGACAGAACTACAAACAAACTCAATATCTCTGGGGTAGGACAGGAAAAATACCCTAGTGTTATTGACCAGTATCCAATTGCTGGAAATTTAAATTAGCAAGATCAATAAAAAGTTAAAGGCCTTATAGTCTACATTCAGCTTGCATTAGTATGAAATTGCCTTTTGAACACCAAAATCAACTTACTTACCTTAAAAGCTTTTTGCATGTTACAATAAACAATTTAAAATATTTCTTTGGTTTGCATCTTTCCATTATTTACCACTTCCCTCTAGTTCAAGGAGTTGGGATAAACAAGGCACATTAATATAGCATTTGGCCCTTTGAACTTGCACTGCTGTTTAAGAAGATCATGACGAAACTGATTATAACCCCAAGTCTAAATTTCTATCTACCTGTTATTGCCCCTCATCCCAGGTATGATTGGATAAGCAACAACAGTGTGGAGCTGGAGTCACACATCATCAGAGAGGTTGGAAAGTTGATGTTTCGGTTCGGGACCCTTCTTCAGACCCAAAACGTTGACTTTCCTACTCATCTGATGCTGCCAGACCTGCTGTGTTCTTCCAGCTCTACACTGTGTTGTCTCTCACTCCAGCATTTGCAGTTCTTGCTGTCTCCAGATGATTGGGTAAGCCTTGTTTGAAATGCTTCAAATGCAATTATACATTTTTTTTTAAACGAAAAGGAGGTCAAAAGGTGTTTTAGGGTCGTTTGTCCAAACGTGCATGATTTAAGCCTCAGTTACATTGCTGGTCTGCTGGTAGCTAATTGATCCACCAGTGGGTTCAGGCACAGGGTAGCACGGAGGGCTCTCTTTGTGACTACTTTGACCCGGAGCTCCCTCAGAGAGTGACCCATCCCCACATCCGGTCTTGCTGCAGTGAAGGAAGAATGCAGCTGCCACAAGTGCCACATACAACACAATAATCACTGCCAGCTAAGACTTCTTTGTTTTGGGACTAGGGCATTGTTGGCCAGGTCAGCATTTATTGCCCTTCCCAATTGCCCAGAGAGAGTTAAGAGTCAACCACTTGGTTACAAAAACCAAAATTAAAAGATTTAACAGAGCCAAAAGGTAAGCAAGGAAATAAAAGTCCAGACCTCCTTCTCAACTCCCATCTCCACAACGCTGCAGGCCCCGCTCCGATCACTAGGACACCCAGGAGGCTGCTGCCGTCACCATTTGAAAGGCCCGCTCTCACCGCCGACTTCTGCCCCCTCTCTCGCTGCTGCCTCACCAGCCTGTTCCCACCGCCGGCTGCTGCCCCCGTTCTTGCTGCTGCCTCATTGGCCCTGCCCTCACCTGCCCCGCTCTCACTGCTGACCGCTGCCCCCTCACTGGCCCCTCACCTGCCCCCACTCTCACTGCTGACCGCTGGCCCCTACCCTCACTGGCCCCTCACCTGCCCCCACT